AGCACAGTTAAATACCATTGTCCTCTTAGTTAGGGGCTTGGTGGACACTGAGGGACACTTATATCTCATTCATCCTCAAGAAGAATGGTGTGTTTAGATTTGTATTTTTAGCATTTAAAGGGTTATGTTTATAAAATATTTGAAGGTAACTGTTTAAGATAATTTCTTTCCTCAATAGAAAGGAAGGAGTATGAAGTAAGAATGGCAAGAGGTATAACTGGCAAGAGAGACCCAAGTCTGAGCTTGTGGGACATCTCTCGCTGGGCATTGTGATTAACCATTGTCACTAAATAGTTTAGTGACCAAACTTCGCCACTTGGAATGACACACATGTATTATCATCACAGTTTCTGAGGGACTTAGCTTGGGTGGCTGTGATTCAGAGTCCCTCATGAGGTCACAGTGAGGACCCCCTGAGCTGCAGTCCCTGAAGGCATTTCTGGACTGGAGCATATATTCTCTGGGTACTTTTAAAAAAATTTTTGATATATGGTATATTTATTAATCAGTTATTTTTATCCACATTGAGCTGCAACGCTTCTTTTATGCTAAAGCTTCATGTGATTGTCAGGTTGTGTTACCAGCACATCCTATATATATTATTGAAGCTCTTAGCTTGCCTTGCTTTTCAGGAGGCCAATGTGTATTCATTGATTTCAGTTTTCAGAATGATGGTTTGGCTTTTTACATTTCCACATGTCTTTGAAAAGCATTTGCTCAAGTTATGAAAAGAGAAACTTCCCAGTGGGCTTTCTCACCAAAATAGTATTAAACTGTAGATCTTCAGAACTGGAACCCTGACTGCTCTTTGGCCTGGAGAAAGAGGGGGAGGAGGAGTGAGGGGATGGGAGGGGAGGGAAGTGACAGGAGGGGAGGAGGTGGAAATTTTTAATTAAAAAAAAGAAAATGAAGGATCAAATTATTGAAAAGTGAAACTTTTGGATGTTTCACAAATGTAATGTTTTAATTAGAAATGTGTGTGAACTGGTAAATTGTCTGGGTACTTTTTAAATGACTGGCAAGATAGTCCTGGTGGGACATCTCAGTTCCTTCTCCTGTGGGTCTCATGTGGCTGCTTAAATGATATCACGAGAAAGGTTCATTCTCCCTCAAGAAGGGCACAGTCCTAAAAAGCAACAACTTTGACGTACTAGACTTAGAAGCCACCCACCATCAAACCCTCCTTAATTGATGCCTTCAGACCAATCTCTTAAGACATTCTGCATTTAAAAAGAAGGGACCAGGCTTACGTGTTTGAGACTAATTTAGACAAAAAATTGAAAACACCACAGATGTAAAAGAAATTTGCCCTGTTAATTTTGTCCATTCACCTATTTAAGGCATATGAATTGAACACCTGCTGTGGGATAAGCCTTGTATGTGGGAATATGTACATGTGGAGGCCAGTGCTGGATACTGTGTGCCTTCATCTGTTGATCTTCTCCTCTTCCTCCTCCTCTTCTTCTTCCTCCTCCTCCTTCTCCTCCTCCTCCTCATCATCATCATATTTGAGACAGGGCCTCTCACTGAACCAAGAGCTCCCCAACTACCTAGACTGAATGGCTGGTGGAATCCAGAGCGCTCTCTCTCTCTCTCTCTCTCTCTCTCTCTCTCTCTCTCTCTCTCTCTGTTCTCCCCTAGGGTTGGGGTTGCAGAGGCACACACGTGAACCCCACTTTTATAGCACTGCTGGGAATCTGAACTCAGGTCCTCACAGCAAGTATTTTATCCATTAAGCAACCCACCCGTCCCTCTGCAAGTCACTTCTATAAGCATAAAATATAGATCCTATCTTATATCTGGAATCTACAAAGTTTGGCATGATTTCTGGATCTGGAAAAGAGTTATAGATAATTGGAAACTATTAACATTGATAAATATATGGATTGAAACCACTTATACTCCTTCTAATCATGGAGTGTAATATAAATATCTGAATACAAGCTTGCCTTTGAATGAACCAAAGTTATCTCATTATTTTTCCTTTTCAACTCTCATCAAGATTATTACAAAACCCTTCCTTTCGTTGTCAGTAACTATACAGTCAGAGGGTTTTCCGGTTCTTTCTCTCTATTCTTGGCATTGTAATCTCCTTAAATGCAGTTATGTTCCTGACAAATCCCTGTTTAAAAAAACCCAAGTGACTCTCAATCCATTTAAAACAAAGAGCCCAGTTCTTAGTGAGGCAGATAGGGCTAAGTCCTGCCGAACCCAAATCCCCTCACCATCTGGCACTGATTGATGTGCAAGACCCATTTGTCTTCTCTTTTCTCGTCTTCATCTAAAAAGCTTTTTCTACTTCTGCACTTCCGTGGTTCCCCTACTCTTTACACTGAGTCATGCTGGCAGAATTTCCTCACACAGTTGAGTTCTGTGTCCCTTATCTGTGGTCTCCTTATATAACATGTAATAAAAAACAGTAGTGAGATATGTCCCTCAATTTGTCTGTGGTAGTTTAAGCTTGGTTCTCTCAGCTTTGGACCAGGTATTCTCATGGAAAGAAGTGTGGAGAGCAGAGGAAGCCTTGAGTGAAGGTGGAAAGAGCGGATGTGGTTCTATTGAATATGGATTGTTATCAGGTGTCTGTCCAGTGATTCAGACCCATGGCTGTTGGCAAAGTCTTCCTTGGGCCGGGATGAGGGAGTAGGCAAAGCCTTCCTCTGGTTTCTGTATAGATAGAGACTGTATATCATAACCCCCATGAGGTTCTGCATTCCTTGGTGGTGTTCCATCAGAGCAACCATGAACCAGATCATGGCAACTCTTCTGTAACTGTGTCTCTGTGTCTGTCTGTCCTTCACTCCCTCTTTTTTCCCAGTCCAGTTTCCAGGACCAACCTGTATGGTTTCTGAGTCATTCTCTGAGTACAAGGCCAAGCAGTAAATAGTTACCAAACATTATTTTCTTTTGGTTAAATAAATATAAATGAATGACAAATAATTGATATTTTTCTATAGACAGAGGTGCTGCTCATAATATTTAAGCAGGGGCACACAGTTGTATCCCACATTTATGTCACTGTGAGGATCTGAACTCAGGTCCTCTTGCTCACTCAGTAAGCTTTTCTTTACCTGTCAAGCCACCCACCCATCCATCTGCAAGGCATTTCTGTAAGTATAAAGTAAAGCTTCTAGCTGAGAGTCCCATTTGATGCTGAGTTCTCCAAAGTTCAGAATGATTTCTGGGTCTTGGGAACACTAGAAAGCATCTGGTGTCAAGTCATCTCCACTATAGTCTGGACACCAAGGAGACATGGGGATCCTAGTTCAGCTGAACCTATTTATTTTCAGTCAGGGGTGTAGTACTATCTAGCCTAATGTGTTAGAGATAGTCGTCTGAAACCTAAGAGTGCTGTGTAAGTTGTACACCTTCGAGATGACGGTGGTCTGTTGAAATGGTCTGTGAACTGATAAATTCAGAAGGCATTCTACAGATACTGTTTTATGTAGGTCCTATACACAATGAGAATTTATGTGTCACAGAATGATATTCTATGGAAATAATACCTATCAATCTCAGGTGGTTTGAACAATTCAAATGGTTCAGCAAAAAAGTCCCTCTGTAGCTCAAGATCCCGGGTTGAATCTCTTACTGGCAAAAGTCTAAGCATGGTGGCTCTTTCCCTGAGGAATTCATGACCTCTTTCTGCTTCTATTCTTCTTGCTCAACCTAGAGAATTCCATCGGAGGAAAACTGTTAGCGATTGGTGTGCTCTGTTAAAGTTTTTTTTTTTTCTCTCACTGCATCCCTACCTCTTACTTGTCTCGAAAGATCCTCATTCCACGCCCACTCGTTGTTTTGAACAGTCTGCCTTGGCTTTCCCTTCCTTCGAATCTCTAATTCCATCCTTCCGCCACCTCTTCAGTGTTCTTAAAATACACCGCGTTTCACCTGCTTGATAAGCCTTGGGAAAGATACTCTCCAGCTAGCAGGAGTTATTCACAAATCCCAACACTAGAGATGATTTCTATTTTAAATTAAAGATTACTTTCACCCTGTATATTTTATTTCACAGACAAAAGTTGTTTCTTTACTTATTGTCCTTTTGTATTTATATTTTGCTACTTATTGTTAACTTTGAATAATGTTTCCACTTTTACCATGCATGCAAAGGAATTTCATGTCAACAGAATAGTTTAAGACCTATTTTTGCTACTTTCTGCGTGTGGTTGATAATTACGTGTTCATCTCACTTTTGCTAATTCTCATTAATATAGGGGAACTATAAACATCAATGTTTAATAATCTGACAAAAGATTTGCCTAATTATTTTGATAATTTCTTTAAAATGTGTTTTTCCCCTTAACAAAAGTATATTTTTAAGTATACAGAAATAAAAAGGAAATGTGCCAAGTAAACATAATTTAAAACTCCTGGTGTAATATTTTTGTTGATTTTTTTTATATAAGTACACAATAATGAATATTATTATGGTAAGTACTACATGAGGGCAAGTGCTTATCCTGTTTATCACTATATCCTAGGGATGGCTCAGCTACTGGTAGCTGCACTTCAGTAAATAATCGAGCTAATGAATGATAAAATTTAAGAGTAGCTTTAAAAATAATGTATAAGTGTTCAGTATAAGCAATGCTCCTGTGATCAAAAGTATAGACTTTTTCATCTTCATTCAGGTTCATAATCCCTTCAGAATTATCTTTTATAAATAATAAATGATAGTACCAAGAAGCCAAGCAAGTATGTATACTTAAGACAATAGTAGTCTGTGTAAATGGCTTGTGGATTGATAAATACAGAAGATATTATATAGATACCACTATATGTATATATAATAAGAATCTGTTATAGAAATATATTCCATAGAGTTCATGTTTTATGTATCTTAGGCAGTTCATATCATTTACTTCATTTATCATAAATATCGAAAATATTACAAGGGCATTATTTCATGGAGTGTGTGAAGTCTCTCATGATGTAACTTTGGTTTTGCTGAAACTTTACAAATGGTTGAGATTTCTGCCTTTGCTGTCTGTCCTCAGAATGGCTTCACTCCTTTGTACATGGCTGCCCAGGAGAATCACATTGATGTTGTAAAATATTTGCTAGAGAACGGAGCTAACCAGAGCACTGCTACGGAGGTAAGTCTTGCTCTCTGGCTCTTTTGTTTTAAGGTCCATGTTCAATCTATCCGTTGCAAAGGATCTCCACTGTTTTGTCTATGGCAACCTGGGAAAGTTCACATCACTCTTATGTCCACCGTCAAGGCCGTGAGGGACATGGGCTTGTGCCATCCTCATTAGTTTATACCTTCATTTTAGGTTGCATTTAGGTTTTCACCATTAAACTTTTTTTTAATTTTTATTTTATTTTGCTGTTTGTGGAACCCCAAGTCTGGGTTGAATTTGCAGTTCTCCTCGGATTATAGGAGTACACACCATGGAATCACACTTCTTGCTTTTGGGGTTTTCAGCATTTTAAAATTAAATTATCCTTGTTGCTTTTTGTCAATATTTTATCTTAAGATCCAAAGCACTCCTTGAAGGAATGATTTCTTTTTTGTTGTTTTTTAAGATTTATTTATTTATTATGTATACAGTGTTCTGTCTGTCTGTATGCTTGCTGGCCAGAAGAGGGCACCAGACCTCATTACAGATGGCCGTAAGCCACCATGTGGTTGCTGGGAATTGAAATCAGAACCTCTGGAAGAGCAGTCAGTGCTCTTAACCTCTGAGCCATCTCTCCAGCCCAAGGAATGATTTCTGACCATTAGAAATGATTTATAGCTATCTGTGTCAGTGTACTTTTCTAGGGACTCTATCACAGCAGTGTTATTTATGACAAAATACAAATCATGACACAGGAGTGTGCCTGTGATCCTGGTAACTGATGTCCAGAATGTTTGACATTAGGCTGGCTTCTGAGGGTTCGGCACCCGGAAGTAGGAGTTAGATGGAGAGGGGCTCAGGTCATTATCCCTCTTTCCTATGCACACTTTCTTCAGATGCAAAAATGCTTTTCTGCTTCCCATCTCTTGGCCCACAGAAAAACATGACGGGTACCCAGAAGCCATCTTGATATTTCTTAATGTTCAATATAGCTTCTAACTTTTTTTCTGACATGTAAATCTTTAGGTAAAGTGAACACAAACTTCCTTCCACGCTGTGCTGGATGGAAAAGTCAACTAACATGCATTGAATCTACTTCTAATTCTTTTGGTGGCGGGAGTATTAACTTTTAATAGAACCACTCACCATCACTTTCTGGCAGCTTATTCTTACTAGCAAGGAAGTCACTCTCAATGCTAAGTAAGTTACGAATCAAGTGAGTTACGTCATATAATGAGAAAACACAACTGCCCCATGACATGCTTCAGTGTTCTGCACTCAGTAACACAGACATAATTTATGCATTTGCCATATGAATATGTGTTTTTTAAATCTCCTTTATGGCCCTTGAGATACTAAATTTGTCTGTGAGTAGAGTGTGACTATCTCAAGGTAATGTTCAGCTAACCAAGGGACTGTATCTCAGAGAAACGTTCCGGCATAAGGAAACCCATCTGCTCTCGTTTTCCTTGAAGGCTGAATCGTTAATCAGATGAAACCTTCACATTGGGACTCTTTCACCTGCCCAGGAATCTTAGTGTGTCTAACACAGGTTTTCGCTGAACTCAGTTCATGACTTTCTCGGCAGATTGACTATTGCTTTGATCTAAATGTTCATCACAGTATTGCAGTGTGATTCCAAAAATAGCTCTTAGAAATCACTGCCTCAGCAAAGGCCATACTGTAGAGTGCCCTGCAGGACTCTTATCTAACCAAATACAACACTTTCAAAGGCAACAAAGCAGAGTAGGGGTTGGAGTGTGACTTACATTTTATTTAAGAAATATCTTTGAATAATGGAAGCCACTTTCTTATAATGATTGGAAATTTATAGACTTAATGTACTGCACCTCTAACCTATCCTGATAGTGACCCAGGTTCACATGGATTAAACCTGTGTATGCTGCCTTTTAACCGAATCGTTCTGTAACAGAGAATACTGTTTCAGGGCCGAGTAGCTGATGTGCTGATGCTTTGTCTTGAAGTATCTTGGTCCCATTGCAGTGTGTGTGATGCACACAAGCAGCACTTCTGTGCTCGTGAGCAGCAATAATGTGTAAAAGCCGATTGCCAAACAAACACTACAACCACTTTAAAAAAATCAGATAATTCACATAGCAGTCAAACACATGTACATGAAGAAATGCTTGGTTTGAAAATTTTTCATAGATAAGATTAGTAAATAAATGATGAAACCAAGACTGCTGAACTTGGCTGGTTTTTCACAGAGTTCATTGAGGGATTGTTAACAAATTATTACATATTTTTAGCCTTCTTCCCTGAAATAGAGATCAGAATGAATTCTGCATATTTGGGATCGAGCTTTAAGTCCTCCAGAGGGAGGTAGCTCTGTGTCTGGCCAGCACCATTTTTATACATCTCTTCTCCCTTCCTTCCTCCTGAATTCTGCCAAAAGTCAGGCTACAGTCTTTTTACTGGTCCATTCTGTAAACCGTGTCTCTAAGGAAAAATAACAGAACGAAAGCAAAGTCCACATGCCTTTAATACAGACTGCTGCAGAGTGGGAGGGAAAAGAAACCCAAATATACACACAACGATGGGTGTGCCCTTCATTCCCAAAGTCTCCTGTTCAGACACACCTACACACTGCAGCTGCTTGCTGGCCTCTACCGTAAGACACTGCACTCCTTCGCTTTGTGAAGTAGTGTGCTATATTTGAAATTCAAACTTGCTCCTAAGAACAGTCAATATATGACTACCTTTCATGTTGCATACATGGTTCATGCTGCTTGCATGGTTCATGCTTCATACAAGATTCATGCTTTATACATGGTTCATATGGCATAAATGATTCATGCTGCATATGTGGTATAATACACTTGAGATGATATTTTCCCTCAAAAAGGCCACAGTTATCACATAAACAATTAATATTGAAAGCAAATTGAATCGTTAAATTTGCCTAACACCCTCATTCCTGTTATATGAACAGTACTTCTAACATTTGCTTGTGGACTTCAGGGAATTAAGGAGGATTACACTTGCCATCTTTTCAGGACTTAAATACTTGCTTATGAAGATGCAGAGATGACTTTCCAAATTTTGTAGGATGGTTTTTTGTCTTATTCTGGAGATCTTTCTAACTTTGCATTGTCTGTGTTTTTTTTTTTTTTTTTTTTTATGGAGCTCTCTCTCTCTCTCTCTCTCTCTCTCTAAGTTGACAATTGAGAGATTGTGTTTTAAATGTTATATGACATAAAAAAAAAACCTCGTACTGAAATGATCTTAGCGATCTAAAATGTAATTGCAAAATTAATGCCTAGTCTAATTTACCAAACAGCGTTAGGGCCCATTATATCTCCAGCGTCCTCACATAAATAGTCTTAATTACTCTATCCACAGCAGTTATCACCTTCCCAGAGACAATGCAGAAACAGTCATCTATCTTGCACTGTTGATTGGGCACTAATTTTGGTTTCCCTTTTACAAAGGCACATTCGGTCCACTCCTTCTGTAAAATGGCCACATTCCATAATCAGCAGGCTTTGTTATGATGCAGAACAGAAATCGCGAAAGCAAACTGATAAAGCCTTTGCCCTGTAGGGGAAAGGCAGAGTCCGCTGTTTCTGCTCCTCGCAGTGAGCTTTCCATCCTGGTTGTCAGTCTCACTCATTCATGAAAATTGTATTCTAGGACGGCTTTACTCCTCTAGCCGTGGCACTCCAGCAGGGACACAACCAGGCAGTGGCCATCCTCCTGGAGAATGACACCAAAGGGAAGGTGAGGCTGCCGGCTCTGCACATTGCGGCTCGGAAAGATGACACCAAGTCCGCTGCCCTTTTGCTTCAGAATGATCACAACGCTGATGTACAATCCAAGGTAAGAGCTGGTGCATCTGTGGAGAGGTCCCCTCTGACTGCCAGCATCCTCCTGGGTGATGACCAAGGCACAGTCTCTGATGATAACGCAGCATTCTGGTCAGGAAAACACATAAATCATTTCCATGGGTATGTCAGATGGAAGGGGACTGTCTGTTGGGAGATAGTAGTATTAATAAATATTAGGGCTAAGCGATTTTCTTTAGACAGCCAGTTTCTGTCTTTGAGACATTTAGTGAGACATTCTGTTTACACCGTAAATTATAGAGAGAGTCAGAAAGAATGACTATCGTGTAATGGAGTTGGCTTTTCTCACTCTGTCTTGTTGGGATAGGGTACTCAGTGGCAGCCAGCACATCTACTGTTTCTTTCATTTTGCATTGTGTAACATCTTCCCTCTTCTTCCCACCAAACACTGCCTCAGATGATGGTGAATAGGACAACCGAGGTACAGTATTGCCATTATACCAACATTTACCTTGTTTTTTATTTATTTTTAGTTTTTGCCCAGATAGAATAAATGCTCACTAATTCATACTAATGATTAAAGTTCTATTAGTGGGAAATTATTTCGAGAAAAATTCTGGTAATTAAGTGAGATTGGTAACTCAAATATATTTAATGCAATATATATTTGATGCAACTTATATTATTAAATCAGCCATTTAAACAAATTGTGAGTCCAGCGTGAAATAAAATACTATTATTACTTATAATTTAATGAGTGAGCCTTTTTCTGAAACTTTTGCAAAGAGATATGAATTTTTCCTCTTAGTGAGAATATACAGATTAGAATTTAGGGAAGTAAAAATTTGGGAGGATTCTCTGTTATTCAATAGCAGAGGCCCTTTTCTGCATTTTTCCTTTAGTGCATTATTTATGATCAATAATGGCTCTGTGCATCACGAGCAAAGCAACTGCTTTTTTCCTGTAACTCTTAAAATACTTGCCATTAAATAATCTTCTTCTTTTAAAATTGGTCATTATAAATAAGAACATTAAGTTTGGGAGCCTCTAGTGGGTGTGTGTTTTCTCTCTTTTGTCACAATATAAACATTATTGAAAGTATGCTATAAAAATAATCTACACTCGAAAGCAAGGGACTGTTTATATAAAGGTTGACTTTTGTTCTGGTGGGTCAGGTCTCTAGAATAATTCTGGAGAAGTTGTATGTCTTTGGACATTCACAGAAAATATCATATTCCTCAAATCTTTATTAACACATTCATCTACTGAGATGCAATTTACTCGAATTATTTGCACTGCTTTTTTTGTTTCTTCCTTTTTTGTGCATGACATTGTGGGGTGAGGGAACTTCAACTCAAATGCTTGGTAAAATTGTTCAGGAACGGAATCATAGAAATTGATCTTAATTACTAATTTTAGTACTTTATTTTCTTATATATTTCTTGGGAATTATTTTTATACATTATAGTGGGTGTAACCAGCAGAGAGTTATGATCATGAAGGCCAATGAAAAAGCATTAATTAATTAATTAATTCTTATAAACGATAAAATAATTTTAGTATACTTGAATAATTAGAAAATGATTTTCCAGCATTCAATAAAATTATTAGAAATTAGATTATAACTTGAATAATTGTGTGTAACAAAACTTTTCCTGGGTAGGCACAGCACACATGACTAGTCACCCCAGAAAAGGATCCCACATCCAACCAAAGTACAGATACTGCCGAAGTCTAGCTTGGTGAAGCAATGAGTTTTATTGAGGCTACTTACAAGAATATGGGCTAGGTGATACTTAAAGGAGCAGAAATGACCCAAAGAGAGCTACATCACCAGAGTCCACCCCAACATGGATGACAGCTCACTAAACCAGAGAAACCGGAGCATACTGCACAGCCTGCAGGCAGAGCAGTAGACTGGAGTGTTTTTTCTGTGACTCTGGTCTGCACCGCTTCCAGTCAGCTCTGCTGGTTTCACTTCTCCTAGGCTGCTCATCTCAGTATTCTTTGAAGCTTGTCTCACTCTCAGATTTTATTGCTTACTCCGGCTGGGAGGAGCTTTGTGGATCTAATCGCGTTCAGGGACTTCGTGGAGCTCATTTGAATTTTGTACCCACCTGCTTTTAAAGAGTTCCCCTGCAGGTTGAAACGTTTCAATCTCTGAGAAAACCGTTGCAACAATAACAGACACATATTCAGAATATGTCTGGGTGACAGGAACTTTCAAGATGAAAATAGAAATTGGATTTGACATTTTAAAAAATAATTATGGGTTGTGTACTGAGTTCCCCCTTAGTTTTGGCATGAATGCAGCAACTCCATGCAGAGTAAGATATTCTTGATCACATTTGTGGAGATAGAAGTCACAGTTACTATTCTTATTTTCATATCTCACTTCCCTACAATTAAAAATCGTTTGCAGCTAGCTGGACGATTGTGGTGCCTGCCAGCACTTGGGAGACAGAGACAGGTGGATCTCTGATTTTGAGGCTAGCCTGGTCTATAGAATGAGTTCCAGGACAGGCTACACAGCTACAGAGAAACCCTGTCTCGAAAAAGAAAGCTAAAGAAAACAAAAATTATTTGCAACTAACATGGCTGAATGCATCGGCAGACTACCTGAGCCATCTAAATGCTTATCTTGGCATTTTCAAAACAGTAAAACCAAATTTTATACACAAAGGTAATAAAAAACTGACTGTGGCTTGTAGGATATTTCTTCAAGCAATCGGTTACATGTTAAAATCCATTTCCAAGTCAGAGAATAGGAAATAGCCTGCAAGCTGTGGTGTGTGTTAACTAACAAATGCTGTTTGTTTCCCCATATTTTCATTAAGTTATGAAAACTACAGAGTAAGGAAAATTACCAGCTGTTTGAGCACTTCAATAAGAAAGGAGCTAATATGCATTTATTGTGAAGAACAGCAAAAAGATCTAACCACATCTTCATCAGAAAAAAAAGGATTTCTTTATTTGACCCTCAGACTTTGTTTTTGAAGCATTTGGGAAATAAAATATTTATCTGGTGCCTACATTATTTCATCGATGTGGTTATTTTTATCATATTTTATTTTAGTGATAAAATTATATTTAATTCATATTTGAGATTAGATACAACTTAACCATTTTTATTTTATAATCATATTGATACCAAACATATTTTAAATTGAAGATAGATTTTTCTCTTATTCAATATATCCTGACTGCAATTTCCCCTCTTTCCATCCCTTCTGATAGTATCCCAACCCCCTCTCCCCACACCTATTTCCCTTCAGAAAAGAGGCCTCCAAGAGACAACAACCAAAAATGAAAAAAACAGCATACAATAAGACAAGGCAAAACTCCTCATATCAAGGCAGGATGAGGCAACCCAATAGGAGGAAGGGTTGTTTAATATTGGTTTTTAAATTCTTTTTCACTATAATTCACCGTCTAAGCAGTTGTGACGGGGATAGGAAGTCAGCGTTGATGCTGCAGAATGAAGTAGACATTTTTCCTGAGAAATTGTTACTTCTGCAGATAAAACACCAACCAATGCTCTTTTACAAATAAGATCAAGGGGTCGGAAAGATGGCTAGTGGGTAAGTGCACTCTCTGTGCAAACATAAGGACCCCCAATTCCAGCTTCCAGAAGCCATATCAAAAAGCCTTGTGTGGCCACGTACGAAGCCTGTTACCCTTCTGCTAAGAGGACGGAAACAGGGAATTGCTCATGCTTACTGGTTTCCAGCTGAATCCAGGTTTTGTGAGAGACTCAAGACACATAGTTTTGGATAGACAACTAGTTTCATAAATTAAAAATAAATTTGCCAGCAAGTGTAGGGTTTTTAGTTTTCTCTTATAGCACTAAGCGATAGAGTTGTATTAAAGCATTTGTTACATGAATTACATCACTCATGCATTTGGCAGGTGGTTTCGCTGTAAGATTTCTGGTTAGTTAGGGATCACTTTCCGCAGTGTGAGGGGCATTCCTACCCACGATTTCTCTCTTTCCCTAGAGCGGCTTCACCCCTTTGCACATAGCTGCACACTATGGAAACGTCAACGTGGCGACTCTTCTTCTAAACCGGGGAGCCTCGGTGGACTTCACGGCCAGGGTACGTGGTAAAGCACGTGTATTTTAAGAAAGCAAATATGAACAATAATGGCTTCTCGTAAGGTCTTGTGTTTAACCCCCTTCCGCCATCCTAAAGATTCTGAAGTTTTCACTGTCTTAATCACAGGATGACATCATAAACCAATAATTAAACAAGACCCTGGGAGCTGGAGAGATGGCTCAGGGATGATCTTATAGCTTTTCAAGAGGACCGGAGTTCAACTCCTACCCTTTGCTGAGTTGTTCACCCCATTCAGTTCCAGCTTCAGGGGAACTAATGCCCTCTTTTGGCCTCTGAGGGCAGAACACTCAAACACATGGAAAATGAAAATCAATAAAAAAAATAAAGACTGCATCAGGAGTTGAGGAGGCTAATTTTGACATGGCGTTCAACTGTTACATTATAAAACAGTATAAAAATTATAAATACTCAATGTCCAGTGAGTAGATGACAGTGTTAACATAGAAAGCACTAACTCTGTGTGTAACTCTGAGTACGCACACAAGGGGATGAGTTTTGATTTTCCCTCTCTTGGTCTAACGAATTGAAAATTTACTCTGATGTCTTCCTAAAAATTACTGTAAGACAGAAGATAGAATTATAATAATGGTCTGCTTCTGTTAGAAAAATTCATTTATATGATAGTATAAATTTCACATATAGCATGTTTTTAAAACTTTTATTATTATTATTACTATTATTAAAAATTTTTCACCTCCTCCCCTCCTCCCATTTTCCTCCCCCTCAGTTTTGTATGTACTATTGTAGTCCTTAGATGTCTTCTGTGTGTGTGGTGGCATAGATCTGTCATCTTAGGAATCTGGAAGCTCAGACAGGAGGAGTTTTATTCTAACAGTAGCCTAGGTTATATAGCAAGTTCTAGGCTATCCTGAACTATGTAGTGAAGTCCTGTTTGGGAAAAAAATCTTCTGTTCCGAAAGTACCTTGTATTATTTTCCTGCTGTTTTTCTCTGTGAATTATTCTGAGGGGATCTTAAAGAATAATTACAACAGGATATTAACACACGTATTTTCTCCATTTTTAAACATATGAAACTTTGAGATCTCAAACTCTACAGTATATGAGTATTATAGACAGACATTTACCAGGCTTTCTATTAGAATTGGAGGCTTTGCTTCTGCCACATGGGCATCCCCCATCTGTCTTCTGTTTTAAATTCAATGTGTCTATAGTAATTCTTGGCAAATATGCATTTTCATTACACTTTTCATTTTCTAACAATTTGCTTCCCATGGTTTAGGGCTTCTTTGTTCCTTATGACCAAACCTATTGAACCATAGATATCATGGGTCAAATCACCACACACAAGTCACAACCCCTTGGTACTCTTTACTGGATGCCATGCTCTCAACCCTGCCATATCCACCCTATTCTGTTTGCTCTTTCCACGGTATAGAATGGAATTACTCCCCTGCACGTGGCTTCCAAAAGGGGCAATACCAACATGGTCAAGCTCCTACTGGATCGAGGTGGTCAGATCGATGCCAAAACAAGGGTGAGTATCTTTGCACTTTGAATTTCCTACCATCCTTTTAAGCCCTGCTGCCCCTCACGCGGTACCTTCTAACACTAGTCAGCAAACACAAGCAGCGTGTTGCTAGGAGATTGCTCTTGGGTTTGATATCAGTCTCGTACAACATTTAAAGATTTCAGCTGATAAAATAAAATGAATGTTTATTCATAAATGCCTACAGCAACAGACATAGCCCCTCCGTGTAGTAGTTTTTCTTGCTCAGTTTCTGAGAACAAAGATCAAAGACTCAGAAAATGGTGCTAAAAAACAAAACAAAGGAACCCCACCTGATTTCTCTTATTACCTTTGTTCCAGGATAGCAGCGTCGTGCCACATGGGAGTTTGGGAGTTGTCTGTCTGTCCAGAGTGTGGTACCCTGTTTTTGCATAGGAGTTTTGCCTGGTTCCAACCTTTGCTGTGCTGAGGATAGGAAAGGGGGCAATCTGAGAATTTGGACATGCTCAAGCTTTGCCTGCTGCTTCCTGCCTTGCTGTCCTTGTTCTTCCCCCAGTTCACCCCTTGTTTTTCAACCTTAGTGCAATAATTTTAAAAAATCCTAGTCAGTGTATTAAGGATATTCACTACTTTTGTTAATGCTGTTCTGAAGCAGACAATTGAGTTTGCTTCCATTTGCCATTATAGTACTTCTTGGGTTCTTCAAAGATGTTCTTGTCTTCATAGGTCACATGCATTACATATAGAAAGTCCAACACCAATTGCACTGCTTTTAAAAATCAAAGTGCTCAGAAATAAAAAGAATGGACTCTTATGATTGTCTTGCCTTTAATTATTCTTAGGAAAGTTATCAATTTGGAAGCACTAGGAAGTGAATTTGGGATCACATTTTGTCCTCTGCAGCTTTTGGATAGAGAAAGTGAGTTGAATTTGAATCAGGCATTAAGATGCAAAGAGCAGATTTTCTAGTTCTGTATAGAGTGTGGACATTCTATTCTTTTATCCTCTCCTCAGTTTTCTGAGTTCCTGCTCGTGCCATGAATTCAGGAGACCCAACACTGAACAAGCCAGACCATCTCTCCCTATTCCCAGATCAAGTCATGGGCTGGTGGCATTGCTCAGTAAAAGAGCACTTGCCCAGTATATCTGAGGCCACACTTGATGCTTAGTATTGTGGAGAGGGCAGAAGAGAGAGCAGGTCTGGGAGAGAGTTAAACACACACACACACACACACACACACACACACACACACACACACACACA